AAGGTGAACATCATAGAATGCCATTTTAATAGAAGAAAGTATTCTTGCGTTGAGGAAGTACTTGAGTGGAGGCCCAATGTCCTTCTGCTACCTTATTACTAAACCTATAAATATAGGCTCGTAGATCTATTTCCCCATCCGCATATAAATATATTTGCATATGTACTTGTCTTTATCTAGACCTCTATAAATGCCCTTTTCCTCTGTGGGAAGATTTTGATGACAAACAAACTCAGCCTCTCTACTTGCTGTGGGTCTGCTCTGTGAGACTCCCACCATCAATGTGGGAATGGGAACTATTCCTGGCCTTAGTGAGTTCTGAGGATTGTTCCCTCCTCATCATCTTTCGGGAGCTTTTTCTTTAGCCTCAGCTATTTTCCATGCACATATTCACTGGTCACATCTCATTTCAGGAATCTCTCTGTTGTGACTTTCTCCTTTAGTCCCCTTCCTGTAACGCTTGGCCTCTGAACTCTTGGCTTCATTTCCTCAGTCCAGTCGCTCTGGTAGCCTACACTGAGGCAAGTGTATTGTTCACCTTGTTTGTTTCCCTTCTCTCAGCTCACTGTCCTTCAGTGCAGGATTGCCAGGTCTTAAAAGCTCTTCATTCATGTATTTCAGTTGTTTTAGGCGGGAGCATAAATACGGTTTCTGTTAATATATTCTTGTCTGGATTGGAAGTCAGTAAGACTATTCTTTATAAAATAAATCCAGTGGGCTTTAGTTCACATAATAACTACACAATCATTTGATGTGTACAATTCATTGAATTATAGTATTTTCCTAAAGTCGTGGAATCATCACCAGAATTTTAGAACATTACGTAACCCCAAAAGGATACCCTATACTCGTTAACAGTAACCTTCCGGTTTTCCAGGCTCCCACCTAGGTGACTGCCATTCTACTCCCTGTCTCTGGATTCCCCTGTGGACCATTTGTATAAATGGAATCATATAGGATCTTTCATGACTGGCATCTTTCTTTGCAGTCCTCATTGATGTTGTGGCATGTATCTGTACCTCTTTTTTTATTATTAGATAATATTTTATTGTGTGGATATTCACACATTTTACACATCTGCTCATCAGATGGCACTTAAATTGGTTTCACTTTTTTATTATTCTAATGTTGCTTTGAAAGTTTGTATACAAGTTTTTATTGTTGTTAGGTGCTATCAAGTGGATTGCAATGACTCACCATGCATGTAACAGATTAGAACAGCCCCAAAGCATTTCCCTGATTCTGTTGTGCATAGGGTGGAGATGGGTCAGAACCGACTGCCAGGCACCGACCAACAACAACAATCTTTATGGGAGCAGGTGCCAGGCTTCTTATGCACTGTATGGTAATACTGCATTTAACCACTTCAGGAACTGCTGCTTCCCTTGGAAAGCAGCTGCGTCAGTTTGCATTTCCACCAGCAGGTGTTTATGTGAAGGTTTTTTCCCCCCTGGTCTTTTTGTTATGTTTTAACAGTTTTTTGACATACACTTCCCTTACCATAAAATTTGGTGGTTTAAACTTATTAAAAAGAACTGTGCAATCATCACCACAGTCAATTATAGAATATTTTGTTCATTCTTGGAGTTATTATTTTTAGCTTCCTATTTCCCCCCTAGCCCCAACAACTCGATATGTTAGTTTCCAAGTTCCCCACAACAACTTGACCCAAAGAAACTATTAATCCAGTTACTGTTTCTGTCTATCTTGGATTACATATAAATAAAACAACCCCCCCAACAAAAAACAAACCCAAACCAAAAACAGTAACAAAACACAGAAAAATGATAGTTCAAAAGATATCAAAAAATAATAAAAGCTAGAACAAATTTAAAATGAGTCACAAGGGAGAACAAATGATAAAAGTATTGAGTTTTAAACTAACTACATCAGCATTAATCCACTTTCTAATGTATTCTGTCTAGTAGCAAGGACTATTCATATTCTGCTCAGTTGTCTGAGAGTATTATTCAGAAGCTTAATCCATGTGAGAATGCTACAAATGGATTTTTGAACTTTTACTGTCATGCATAGCTTTCTGTTAACCAGGTGCTCAGAATTTAAGCTCTAATATGGTTCCCTCCTCTTGTCTTGTGTTTTACTATTTGCAACCTTTGGATCCCACTGGCCGATGTGCTTCTCAGCTGACATTAACTTAGATGGCTGTATTTCACCACAATCTCACCAGCATTTGTTACATGCCTTTTTGATCACACTCATTCCTCACTTATTGATGGTTAGGTTCCAACTACCAGGTTGTTATGCAAAACACAGTATTATAGAAAAAATTGGGAAATGACATCAGATTACAAATGATGACTGCATCCATCAGTATGTAACTGCCAAGGCACATCGTGACATAATTGCCAAATTACATCATTGTATAACTATCATACCACTGAGAATCATGGCTCAGCCAGTATGACACATAGCCTTTACCATTACTATTACTTTTGCCTTGTATTCTGGCGTGTGCATCATTAGTGTACACACTAATGGATAGATTTTTTTTTTTTTTTACTACTATAAATGTGAAGTGTTAGGTGGGCTTAAGTGGTACCTCATTAGGATTTTGGTTTGCCTTACTCAAATGCCTAATGATGTTGAGTATCCTCTTTTTTATGTGCTTACTGCTGTTTGTATTATTTTTCCATGAAAATTACTTATTTAGGTTCTTTGCCTGTATTTTAAAATCACCTATTAAAGAAGTAACCCTCTCCGAGAACCCCGGGAGCAGCGCCGGTGTGAAGGAGTGCCGCCACCGCCATGTCTCACCTGCCGATGAAACTCCTGCGCAAGAAGATCGAGAAGCGGAATCAGAAATTGCCGCAACGAAACCTAAAGCTACAGGGGCAGCAGGTGTGAGCATATCAGAAGGGCAGAATGGAGATGTGCCACAACCAACAGTGGGAGATGAAAAAGATAGAAAATCCTTAAAACCGTCTATGAAGATGGGCTTCTCAGGACCCCAAAATGGAAATGTGTCTAAAGAAACAGTGGAAAATGTAAAAATTAAAAACTCTCCCAAGAAACCTGCTGTTTCATCCAATGGGGAAGCAACAACACAAGCTCCTAATGCAAAATTGAAAAAGAAGAAGAAGAAAAGGAAAATGGAGGGTGCTGCCAGGCCTGATATAAAAAAGACAAAAACTGAAGACACCGAGGAGACTAAAAAGTGTGACATCCAGACTCCGGCAGAAGCAGAAACAAGAATGGAACAGCCAGATGGTGACGAAGAGGATAGTGAATTGCCCAGCCTGCCCCTGGGACTGACGGGTGCTTTTGAAGATACTTCATTTACTTCACTGGCTAATCTTGTCAATGAAAGCACTCTGAAGTCCATTAAAGAAATGGGCTTTACAAATATGACTGAAATTCAGCATAAAAGTATCAGACCACTTCTGGAAGGCAGGGATCTTCTGGCAGCTGCGAAAATAGGCAGTGGTAAAACGCTCGCGTTTCTCATCCCTGCAGTTGAACTCATTGTTAAGTTAAAATTCATGCCCAGGAACGGAACAGGAGTTCTTATTCTCTCCCCCACTAGGGAACTGGCCATGCAGACGTTTGGTGTGCTGAAGGAGCTAATGACACACCATGTTCACACGTATGGGCTGATCATGGGGGGTAGTAACAGATCTGCGGAAGCACAGAAACTTGCTAACGGGATCAACATCGTTGTAGCTACACCAGGCCGCCTCCTGGACCATATGCAGAGTACTCCAGGGTTTATGTATAAAAACCTACAGTGCCTGGTCATTGATGAAGCTGATCGTATCTTGGATGTTGGATTTGAAGAGGAGTTAAAGCAGATTATTAAACTTCTGCCAGTACGCAGACAGACCATGCTTTTTTCTGCCACTCAAACTCGAAAGGTTGAAGACCTGGCGAGGATTTCTCTGAAAAAGGAGCCTTTGTGTGGCGGTGTTGATGATGATAAAGCCAATGCAACTGTGGATGGTCTTGAGCAGGGCTACGTTGTCTGTCCCTCTGAAAAAAGATTCCTTCTGCTGTTTACCTTCCTGAAGAAGAACCGAAAGAAGAAACTGATGGTGTTCTTTTCGTCCTGCATGTCTGTCAAATACCACTATGAGTTGCTGAACTACATTGACTTGCCTGTCTTGGCCATTCATGGGAATCAGAAGCAAAATAAGCGAACAACCACGTTTTTTCAGTTCTGCAATGCAGATTCGGGGACCTTATTGTGCACAGACGTGGCTGCGCGGGGACTGGACATTCCCGAAGTCGATTGGATTGTGCAGTACGACCCTCCAGATGACCCGAAGGAGTATATTCATCGTGTGGGCCGAACAGCCAGGGGCTTGAATGGAAGAGGGCATGCCTTGCTCATTTTGCATCCAGAAGAATTGGGTTTCCTGCGTAACTTGAAGCAATCCAAGGTTCCACTAAGTGAATTTGAGTTTTCCTGGTCCAAAATCTCCAATATTCAGTCTCAGCTTGAAAAACTTATTGAAAAGAACTACTTCCTTCATAAGTCCGCCCAGGAAGCATACAAGTCATATATTCGGGCATATGATTCTCAACTCTCTGAAACAAATCTTTAATGTTAATAATTTAAATTTGCCTCAGGTGGCTCTGTCATTTGGTTTTAAGGTGCCTCCTTTTGTTGATCTGAACGTGAACAGCAATGAAGGCAAACATAAAAAGCGAGGAGGAGGTGGTGGATTCGGCTACCAGAAAACCAAAAGGGTCGAAAAGTCCAAGATCTTCAAGAATATTAGCAAGAAATCGTCCGACAGCAGGCAGTTGTCCCACTGAAGACACACCTGCCTTCTCTTGAATGCCCCCACATGGATGTTCTTGACCTTGATCTAACCAGGACCTGTTGTGGCCTAAGGATCGGGACTGATTTATCAGAAGTTTACATTGCAAGGCCAGTGGACTGACTTCCAGCAAATACTTTTTGGGGGGAAGGGTGGGTGTGGGTGGGGAGGAGGGGTTAGGGTTAACTATGGTCAAAGAAAGGGAATAATTTTGATCTT